CCCCCCCCCCCCCCCGTGGTAGGCTGAATAATGGTTTTATCCATGTAGAAATCTCTGGAACCTGTGAATGTTACCACACATGGCAAGAGACTACACAGATGTAATTAAATTAAGGATCTTGAGATGGGGAGATTATCTTGGACTATCTGGCTAGGCCCTAAATGCAATCACATCACATAAATCCTTATAAGAATGAGACAGAGGGAGATTTGGCTACTTGTAAGAAGAGAAGGCAACGTGACAATGGAAGCAGAGAAGGGAGTGATGCTGCTACAAGCCAAGGAATTCCAGCAGCCTCTAGAAGCAGGAAGAGGCAAGGAATGGATTCACATCCTCCAAAAGGAACACGCCCTGCTGACATGGCTTTCAGACTTCTGGCCTCTAGAATTGTAAGAGAATAAATCTGTGTTGTTTTAAGCCACCAAGTTTGCAGAAATTTGCTGTAGCAGCTGTAGGAGACTGATACGCAATGCTGTACCCTGTCCCCATCCTCCTCTCTGCTTTATCTTCTCTTCCTGCCTCATCTGACTCGCTGTATTGTGCTTGTTAGGACTGCCTGTCTCCCCTCACTAGGACGTCAGCTCCGCCAGGGCAGGAGTTCTGTCTGTTTTGCTCAGTAAGGGAGATAAGTGGTCATTAATCCCCTCTCCTTATACCAAGGTGTCTCTGAGTCTTGTTTTGTGTGAGCCTTATGCAGTGAAGTCCATTTCAGGGGAGCAGAGGGGCCCAGGCTCATCGTTGTGGTGCTCAGGGCAGGTGCAGGTCTCAGTGGGCTCACTGAATGGGCTCTGAGTCTTGTCCTGGAGCTGTATTCCAGAAATTCTGGCCTAAAGGGATACTGACCGGACTGCAAGGATGACTCAAGCTGACTGGTCTTTCCTCACTACCTGCCCATGCCTTTCTGCAGAAATCCTGGGTCAGCCCGCATGTCAGAGAGCAATTCCCTAAGAGGCTCCAATCCCCCAAGGCCTCCAGAGTCCTCCTGCATGGGGGGTGAGGTGCCACTGCCTCCTGGATGCAATCAGATAATTCATTACAGGTCAGGAATCAGCACTGAGAGCAATCGTGGTGAACTCTTAGGGCTGAACCTATGAGAACTCTTAGACACCAGGCTCTGGGTCTGTAATGTAGAGCAGTTTACCAAGGCGGGCGTGGGAGTCTCTGACGTGGCCTCACCCACAGAAGTGGCTCTGGAGCCCCACTGCATCTACCACATCATATTCTCAGACCCAGTCAACTGCAGAGTCAGTGATGCCCCTGCCTACCCTCTCTGAGCCCCCATAACCTGTCCCCGAAAAGTGAGGACTCCCACAGAAGGGCCCTCTCACTGTGCCTTGCTGCAGCAAACTTGGCATTGGGTGGAATGCCCTGGGGAGGCTCGTCTCTGGAGGAGAGGCCCAGGACCCATTGTGACTCAGGACGAGGGAGGGCTTGGATACTGTGAGCCAGCTGGGGGACCGTGGAAGGAAGGTTAACAGCTGAGGCCTTGCTGGGGTTTGGAAGGTCAGACTGCCCGGCTCTGATTTTTTTTTA